AACTAAGGTTTATTTTTCCTGCCCCAAACAAACAAGCTTGCTTCTGCCCCTATTGGCTGGAATGCGACCAGCAACAATTCCCTTATATGGTCAAAGAGTCATTTGAATAATAAATGCCTGCTTCACAGCCTGACCCCAGTGTCTGTTTGTGTGATTGTCCTAGGGGCACTGCACTTTGGAGCAGCTGGCACCAGAATCGTGCTTTGGACCAGGATACAGCATATGTCCCCTCGAAGGGGAGAGTCCTGTGAATGTGGGGGTATATGATATGTGGTGGTCCAGACCTTATTTTGGGGTTCAGAGCTTTCCAACTCACTCTCCTTAGTGTTTCTGAATGACTACACAAATAAGTAACAAATAAGGAATGAATAAGGAAGTGTGAATAAGGAACCAACTTCAGCCTCCTCATAGAGATGACAAGAACATCCTGCAGGAGGCAGCAGAGGGGGCAGGCTAGTTAGCACAGTATGATTAGGGACATTTTACTATTTTCAAATAGTCTCCTTCCTATCTTCTGATTGGCTCAACTGGGGTTTTTCCTGCTCCTGCTGAGAACTGTTAGCTCCTGACTCCTAGCCAGTTAGTCTTCTCTTTCTCTCTCCTGTTTCTTACAAAGTTTGTTCTCTTCTTAATAAACTGACTTTATTATTTAAACAGCTTGTGTTCCGCTTTATTGTGTATCTACACTCTGCCAACACAGGGTAACGATGTAAGCCACCTTAGGTTTCCAGTGGGGGGAAAGCTGGGCTATAAAGTAATAAATGAACAAACCTGAGATACCCCCCACAGGGTTTAGGTAGTACCTTCTCTTAAGGCATAGAGGGAGGCCGGGGACTGAGAAAGACCACCACAGCTGAAGAATCATGACCAGTAGTAACTTTCAGATTAAATCCAGAACTCTAGTTTTTTTCCGTCTCTGAGATTTAGGACTGTCCTAGGCTTAGCTCTCAGAATGTTTTTGGACAGGCCTGCAAATCAACATGCGCAGTGCTGGCTGGCAGGATGGAGCTTGGCTTGAATGGGCCAAATGGGGAAAAAAAGACTAGCCCTTTTGTGCTTCAGAATGGCCTCTGGGTAGCAATAGGAACTCCCCATAGCTAGAGACAGGCAGTTTGGCTCTGAAGAAATTGTCCTCTAAGGGGTCACTAGAAAGGAGGCAAGGTTTCCCAAACCTACTCTAGGACTTCATCCACAATAAATTGGGGGTACTTAACACACACATCAGCCTCAAAGCTCTAGTGTTTTCCTTGAAGTGGAGCAATACACAGATTGCCATCCATTTGTGCTGCTGCCAGTCGGTTTTCCAGTTGCTGAGTTTTTCCCTTCACAGCCACCAGGATGAGAAACGTTTCAAGATATTTTTTGCTCTTGGAACTTGTAAAGGATCCCCCCCCCCCAAACTGGGTTCAGTTCTCAGTTCAGATCTCCATTATTCCTCATCTGTAAAATGGAAACAGCACAACTTGCAGGTGTTGGCACACTGAAATTGGAGACTATTGATTAATGCCTCAGTTTTGGTTAGAACAAAGTCTGAGTGCAGTGACACGTTTAAGACCAACAAAGTTTAATTCTGGGTATAAGCTTTCGTGTGCATGCACGCACAGCTTCCTAACCATCTCATAACATGCTCCTTTTTCAAAGGCTAGCTCTCTAGGTTGCTTCTGAGGCCAAAAGATCCCAGCAGACCTCCCTGCATTGAGGGATCCACGCTCACACCTTCTGCCCTTTGCCATGGGGTCAAAACATAGGCAGAAGCACATGACTCCTGGCCACAGGAATTAAGCTGCTCACCTTTGCTCCAGAGATTTCCCTTTCACCTTGGCTTGGTCTGGGCGAGGCCATCTCTAGGCAATGCAATCGAGGGGAGGGAGGCACCCATCTAGGTGAGTGGGGGAGCAAACCAAAGAGAGAGGACTCTGGTGTGTCATTTTGCAGAGAGGACCCAGGGCATATACTCCTGAAACAAACCAACCACCAGCCTCTGTTGGATTTGGCCGTCCCAAATTCAAATCCTCACTTACCCCGGCAGCCTGAGCAGCCTAGCCTGCTGCCACCCCCCAGCCCTTAGCCTTGGAAATTGAATTAACACCTCCCCCTTCAACTTAATCCTGGCTCGTTGTGATTTCTTCCCACTTTGTTTTCACCATTGTTAACTATTTCTCTCAGCCTTTTCCCTTTTAGCAACTGGCTTTGCTTCTGATTTGACCGCTTCCCTCCCTCCCTCCTTTTTCAAGGGTTTGTGCCTCACCCACAGCCTGCAAATCTGTACATAGCCTCCCACTCCCTGGTCACAGCCTTGGACGCAGACAGACTGAAGCAAACGCTGCTTCCCACGAGCCACCTCCCCAGAAGCCCAGCCCCACTTTCCACCCACACATCCGCCGTCGGGAAGCTGCTTCTCAGTCAGGTGATTTCTGGCACTGGGAAAACCCCTGGCCGGGTTCAAGCGAAAGTTCAGTCCCAGCAGGAGGTCTCGCAGAGGCCCTGCGAAGGGTGCTAGCCAGGAAGGGACTGGAGATCTCCTGGGGTTACAGCTGCTCTCCAAGTGACAGCAGCAGGAGAAGAGTTGGAGTTATACGGTATAAATTACACCCCACCCTCCATTCAGAGCAGTTTACAATCTCCTTCCCTTCTTCTCCCCACAACAGACACCCTGGGAGGTAGGTGGGGCTGAGAGAGCTCTGAGAGAACAGCTCTGAGATACCTGTGACTGACCCAAGGTCACCCAGCTGGCTGCATGTGGAAGATTGGGGCATCAAACTGGGTTCTCCAGATTAGAGTCCACCACTTTTAACCACTACACCAAAGTGGCTCTCAGTTCACCTGGAAAAAATGGCCGCTTTGGAAGGTATATCCTACTGAAGTCCCTCCCCTCCCCTAACTCTGCCCTCCTCAGACTTCACACTTACAATTTCCAGATATTTCCCAATCTGGAGTTGGCAAACCTAAATAGAGAAGGGCTGGCAAAACACAAAGAGATGGTCCCCCAACTTCCTGAAGGAGATGGAGAATAAATCTCCCACTCTTCAAAACTCCCTGTCTGATCCAGCCTGCCCCTTAAGCAAAATTCACTGGGTTATTTATGGATTCGGATTTAAAAAAACAAACACAAAACTGAGCTGGTAGCTGAAGTTCAGCTAGAACTGTACAGGTGCCCTCCCCACTCACCCCCTCCCCAGAAGGCTGGGCGTCACATGAAAAAGCCGCAAAGGGCAAGGCTGAGAAACTCCACCTACAATGCAAGAAGCAAAGACACAAACAGGGATGGTCTTCCCGTGCCCCCCTCCTCCCCAACTTTTGGTGACAGGGACATCTGATGGCATGTGGTGCTATTTCTTTTAATTCTATGGCATCAAAAAGGCTCGGCCTCCTTTGGTTTGGATTCTCACTTTTTTAAAAATTAAGAGACCGGCATCCAGCAGGCTGCCATGTCTGTCTTCACAGCCCATTCTGACTTTTCTGAGCACAGGCAACCTAAGGAATTTTGAGACCCTTAAAAACTTTGATGCCTCAGACACCTTGGTGGGCCCAGGAGACCAAAACCAGAGCTGGCTTCTGCATGTACATGATTCACATGGAGGCTGCCTTATACTAATCAGACCACCTGTCCATCATGGTCAGTCTTATCTACTCAGACTGGCAGCCAGTTTCAGATATAAGTTTTTCTCATTACCTGCTGCCCAATCCTTTTAGCTGGCAACGCCAGTGATTGTACCTGGGACCTTCTGTATGCCGAGCAGGTGTTCTACCACTGTGTCAGAGCCCCTCTGTAGCTTTTGTTGTCTTTTGCCTAAGCAAAAGCCTGAAAAATAGAGCTTGCAGCCCAGCTCCTGGCACTTCCTGTGCAAACAGGGAGCAGGGGGACCAGCCGGCCAAGCAACTGCTCGAAAGCCCCAACTTAGAATGACTTGTGGCCATTTCAGATTTGAAAGCCTCTGGTTGGGAATAAAGACGTCATTCTGACAGCCCTGTGGCCGGGCGAACAGCTGCTCAGCAAGGAAGCCCTCGCAGGCCTCTCTGCTCACGGATTCCCTAGAGTTCTCCCAAACATTTTCACCATCTGCTAGGAGAATCTATTTTCTATTCAGAGTCCAAGCAGGCATGATGGCGGGACAACAGGCTGGCCCTTCTGCTTGGCGGTGGGGGTGGGGAATGATCTCTACAGCCCTTTCAGGAGTTCCCGTTGCAGAACAAAAGGCCTCAGACACAGCATAAGCAACCAGCATTTTTTATTTATGCAACACAATTATAAATTGCTTCAGAGAGAGACAGAAGTCTTTTTTAAAAAAATCTTTCTTTAAAAGATACATCAAGCTTCAAGACGTGTTCATTGTCCTAGTTATTTTTTAATTATTTAAATTCAGTCTCCAGTTGCTGGACAGCGGCCCTGAACTGGTGTGAGCTTGACCTTGGACAGCCAAGTCCAGAACAGAACAAAAGGATTCCAGGAACGGCAGAGGCTGCTTTTGTATATAATACAATACCAGTAAAAACAATCTCTTCTGTAATTTACAAAAAAGGTGCGAAGTTATAAGGTTTACAATTTCAAAAGCATTTTGCTTACTACCATGAAACATCACAGTTCTGTGGTGTTCTCATACTTAACCAGACATACAGCGTTTTCTGTGTCCATGTGATTCCCGCAGCACACAGTGCCAGCGTGGCTGATCTGACCCCGTGGCGCACAGCGGAGGGAAGGGGCAGCATCCCACAGACCAGCTCAGGGGAGAGCACGCTCTGCTCTTCCCTCCTCTCTGCACCACCTGGGACAGTTTCAGCTTCAACCACAGGATGGACCGTTTAAGAGAATACGTAACGTATACAGAAGGATACAATGTGCATCAACAGGTCAACTGCTCCTGGCCTGCAAGTGAACCGGACATTTGTAAAAGGGCAGGAACCAGAATCAATTGCTAAAAAAGTCATAAAAAAAAGAATTCTAACTGTTTATAAGGACATAAGAAGAGTCCTGCTGGATAAGGCCAGTGGCCCATTTAGTCTCACACAGTGGTCACCTGGGTCACTATGGAGGGCCAACAAGGGCATAGAGGCTGAAGCCTTCCCCTCATGCTGCCTTCCTGGCACCAAGATTCAAAGGTCTACTGCCTCTGAACCCTTAGTCCACTGTTAGTAGTGGACTCACTGGTCATCAAGACTGAGCCAACAGGAGTATAAGCTAAATCCATCTTCTCCGAACAAGAGAGGCATCTTTCTACAGTACTGGAGAAAGTCTACAGGTGGAGTGGGTTTGAAGGAGGCAGGAGAAGCAAGGACTTTCGTGGGGCAGAGCACCCTTGTGCTTCCAGCTCTAACTAAGAAAAACCGTTTTTATCCCTGTGATACTGTTTAAGTGCCCTGCAGTTGTGCTCTGTTAGCTGCACAATTGCTGGGGTGCTTTAGAGAGTGCCTTCCAAAGGGTTTCGCAGCCACAGGCCAGGAGCACTCTTCCCCCTCTCTCCTCCGCTCCAGCCCTGCTAAAAGCCCAGAGGTTCTTAAAAGTCAAGTTTTCCAGCAGACACTGTCTTAGAGAGAAAGGAGCCTTTCAAGGATCAGTATCCAGAGAAGGCAATGGATGAGACTCCTGGCTAGCAACCTCTAGCACAACTGGAACAGATGTTTGAAACTGAGCCGTCTGCTTCACACAGATTGTTTGCTGATGGGGAGGAGCAGCCTCGAAAAGCCCGATCTTGTCAGAGCTTGGACACCAAGCAGGGCCCTGGTTAGCCTTTGGATGGGAGACCAGCAAGGAAGACCAGGATTGCTATGCAGAGGCAGGCAGTGGCAAACCACCTCCCCTTACTCCTTGCCATGAAAACCAAATGAAGAAGAACTTCTTCATGGGGTTGCCACGAGTCAGTTGCAACTTGACAGCACACAACTATTATTATTTCTGATGCAAACTATTGCAGCCCTACAACCCTGAGTGAGTGTGTGTGTGTGTGCTCACAGATGCACCTGAGAAAGTCTCCCTGGGTACTTTCAAGCAAACATTATTATGAAGTCACTTGAAGGGAAAGCAGAGATTCTTGGAATGTGGAATCGTGTGTGCTGGATTCAAATTCTGTGGCTTTGCCCAAAGGCACTTCGGCAATGGGAGACTGGCTTGAGATGCATAAGCAATGAACCAAGAATCCCTCTTTGCCCTCTTTCTGACATTCCACAAAGAAACCGTCCACTCATTTCCAAAATCTTCTCCATGGCCATGGGCACTAGAAAGCCTAAACTGGAAAAAGAAAGAGGAAGCCCATATCCAAGCCTCGACTGCTCAACGTGCCATCTCCAATGCACGGCAAGCAGAAGGGCTGCATAAGAGTCGGCCAAACATGGCACCTGCCAATGACTTACTGAGAAAGCCAGGATTTTAAACAACGTCAGAACCCCCCCCCCCAAGCTTAACCCTTTCACTCTGTTGCAAGGGGTGGGGCCAGTTCATAGTTTGCCTTCCACAAACATCCTCGTTTCAGTAACTGCAACAGGCTGATGCAGAGAAACCGCATTTGAGAAAGTCCGAAGAAAACCAGCAAGCCCGTTCCTTAGGAGACATTCACTGGCACAGTGCCCGCTCCATCCTGCCTAACCCACAGACAGGCTGGGGACTCCCTTGGTGATGGCCCAGGCTGCTTAGCAATGCATCTTAGAGCAGTTACACATCTCAAGAGGCCAATTATTTCTCAAGGCCTCTGGGGTGGCAGGAACCACCTCCCCCAGGGCACTCCTTAGAAGGAGACACTCGTCTTCAGGAACTGCTGCCTCTCCGAGCTTCACACCCTGGGGTTCTGGGACTTGTAAGTGAGGATCTCAGCAGCCAGCTGTTGGGGGTCCAACAGCTGTGGGAAGCGGCTCATGACAGCATCCACCAGGTGAGGATGGAAGATCCCACACAGCTTAACGTGCACGTTGGCGCGTTCTTCAGCAAAGCGATCGGGCGAGGCCCACTGGCAGGAGTTGCTGTAGGCCACCTGGGGGGCTCTCGGCAGATCTCGAGGTGCTGCAGGGGGAGGCTGGTAAGGCTCGGACCAATACTTCCGCCTGGGACTGAGAGACGCGCCAGAGTCGGGAGGCATGCTGTAGCTGGGAAAGGAGTGAGCCGCTCTGGTGTGTGACAAATCTGCACTATACTGTAAGAAGCTGGTGCTGGAGCTGGGTGCTGAAACGGGCTTGGGGTAGCTGTGGGGCTGATAGTGGCCGTAGCTGCTGGACTCGGGGCCGGGAGGCGGATGGTAGGGCTGCCCTCTACGGGTGGTCATCCCCAGGTGCTCCGGGTGGGAATGCGGGCTGTGGCTGGCCAAAGGGCTGGGCCACATGTCAGACAGCTGGTTCTCCAGGGAGCCGATGCCAGAGTCAAGGCAGTCCTGAGACACGTAGGACAGGGAGTCCATGTGGGGAGAGAGGGGGGGTGGCTGGTACCACTCTGTAGGCCGGTAGCTGCTGCTGCTGCTACTACCAGCAGGGGTCCCTGCCGAGCTACTTCCACCTTTGGGCAAGAAAAGTGCTATGTCTCCATGATTCGCTTTAGAGGCCAAGCTTTTCTTCTCCATGGAGGCTTTCATCAAGTGGACCTTATCACCCTCAAGGGGCACAGAGCTCAGGAATTCAGCCTGGGCAGGGCGTCGTGCCAGCCCCTCTTCCTTGGCGGCAGCAGCAGCAGCACTCCTGGTAGGGGACAGCCGTGCGTTTGCTCGCAGCTCATCGGCAACGGAGCGCTGCAGGTGGTTGAGGCGCTCAGGGTGATAGTACCTGCACTTGTTCCCATACGTACATTTCTTGCCTGCAAGGGAAAGAAAGAGGGCAGAACGTGAGATGGGGAGCCTTCTGGCCACTCCAACGGGGGCAGCTATGGCCTGAACAGTCTCCCCCCCCCCCAAGAAGATTGGAAACCACTTGGCCTTACCATAAGGGCACTGCTGCTTTCTGAGTTCGGGAAGCACTGGTTTCTTTCTCAGGAAGTTGTCCAGGCTGGGGCCATGGCGCCCTAGCGGGTCATCAGGAGGCATAAACCTAAAGGAAAAAAGGCAAGATCCCTGGTCAGCTAGCCATTGCCATGGGCCACAAACCCCACCCTGCTGGCTCTTTGACTCTTTGCCCCCATGTGTGCCACCAAACCGACAGGTAGCCAGGGTCAGAGTGGTAGCCATAGCTAAGGGTTAGGAAGACATTTCAGACTAGCTAGTAATGTGGGGTGGGGGCTCTGCCTTCCCTTAGGTCCTCCAGGCAGCCTGGAGTAATTTTCTCTGCAGCCATCCTTACCACCCCCACTCATGGTGTCTGCTTTCTGAATCACACAGTCTGACCAGGAAAGGGTTAGAGTAGCCCAGAAGTTGTGGAAGGTGGGGGAAGGAGAATTCTACAACTCCAAATCGTGTTGCCCGCTATCGCTCAGAGTGGTGATTTTTTAAAAAAATGAAGCTTTGATAACTTACTGGAAGTAACAAAGGGTAGCTCTAGGAATGAATCAGCAGCAGCTTTATGGTTATACCACAGAGTTTCTGGTGATTCCCAGAGTTACCCTTTGTCACTTCCAGTAAGTACACAATGTACCATTAAATTTTTTTTTGATGATGTCAAACCCCTCAAATCCTACCGCCAATTGTCAGGCACTGCCTGGCAACTTTACCAGCAGCGTCAGAAGCAGGGGGTGCACGTGTGTGTGTCTGAACATGGAAACCCAAGGCTGCAGGGTACTGAGCACCAAGTACCCTGGACACCTCTTGAACTGCCTCACCCCCTGGAAGGTTAACAGGAATTGCCTGAACACCACCAAGCTTGAAAATCTTCCTCCCCTTGTCACAGTTTAATGAAAAGAGGGGGTTTTTGGACACTCTTTTCTCTCCCCTTCAGCATCTCCCTGCCCTCAAGTGCCCACAGACCTACTTGTCATTGACGAAAGAATACATCAGCAAGCGTTCTTCGATGAACTTCTTCCACTCAGGGCGCTCTGTCTGCAGGTCTCGGTAAGTGTCATTGGACACAATGATGCCATCGGACTCATAGGCCAGCTTCACAATGAAACGGTCGTCATAGCAGACCACTCGCTTGCCCCCCACCCTCCGGGAAGGCGTGAAGACGAGGATCTTCTTCTTTTCCAGGTCATGTAGGATATGCTGATCTGCAACAGGAAGCACCAGAGTCACCACTTACCCAAGGCTCCTCTAAGAGTCGGATACTGACACAACAAGCAAAGCTACTGGGCACCTTGGAGAAAAATCAGTCACCAGAACCACAGGGGAGTGGAAAGCAAGCAGCACAACCTGACCCGGCTGAGGGTGTTTGTCAATAACACCTGAACAGTGTTTCCTTTCATACCCACCCCACTGTGAACTTTCTCTCTCAAACATTCTCTCTGAGATCAAGGGTTTTTTCCACTTTCTTTTCCTTTATCTACATTTCCAACCCTTCCTGTTCTTCTGCCATGAAGCAGAGAACATGGAAAACCAAACCAAATCAGAAGATACACCCCTTAAAATTATGAATTCACCATCTTGATTGAAGCAAGTCTTCTGCAATTCTAATATAACCTGCCCTACAAATGGAAAAGGCACAGGCTGGCAAGTGAGATATCGGAGGTCACCGTGACCATGAGCGGAGGAGGCATTTGGCAAATGCACCAAGGAAAATTTGCTCTGAACTTTCCAGATGGCAGTAATACATCACTACTCAATCATCACCCCGAGGCCAAATTAAAACAGACGACACACACCCTTTTCCTATTGCACTCAATCATCTGCATCACTTACTGAATCACCTGAATTGCCAAAACCCCATGAAAGCAGAAGGCCAGATATTTTTTTTACCTGTGATGGGAACATCCGGCTTTGACTGCTCCTTTCTCCAAGAGGGTACAAAGACAGTGATATCCGTGTGTCCTCGGTCCAGAAACCAGTTCACGGCCAGCAGAATGCCTCGGCAAGAGAAGACGTCTTTATCCCCATGGCTGTGAAGGAAGGAAGGGTTCACAGGCTCAGGGCCCTGGTTCCAACTGGAGTGGCTTACTATGGATTCATAGACTTGAAATAGGAAATGTCATGCCATGAGGGTGACGCAATCCTCTCCAAAGAAGGCCCCACCTGGAAAGCCCCACACTCAGCCACCAATGAGCTACAGCCCCAAACATTATTTTGTTAAATCAGCTGGTGGGGCTTCAACGGGACCTCCTTGGCTGATCACATGTGCAAACTCCCCCCACCCTGCAGAACCACAAAGAGCTCAACCTGTCTCTGGGGCCCTTGTAAGACTGGTGCCTAGCCTGCTTCCTCCTCCTGGGGAGAGACGCATTCAGCCAGCAACACAATGCATTCTTCCCCTTAGCTAGAAGCCAGTAACTGCTAGGCAACTCATTACCACCACTCATGCGCACACGTGAGCAAGTGAGATCTTCCCTCCCAGCTGTCAATTCCGTAAGCAAGAAATACAACATCTCCAGTGACAAGGCCTGGTGCTTGGGTATTTCCTGGGGTGGGTCCCTGGCTACAACTCCTGCCCCCAGCTCCACGCCTGGGCTACACTAAATTGCTGACCAGGCCCCCTGGCTTGACTTCTTCTCAAACCCTCTGAGCAGACGTACTGTTTTGCCTACATCTCCAGAAAGGTGTTGACAAAGAGGGACTTCTCACCTGGCAAACACCCAGGTAACAGAAGACAAATACCAAGGATCTCCCATAGTTTAGCCACCTGACTGTTTTGCTTTTTTAAAAAATGTTTCACAAGATATTGTCCTCCATTTGTGCACAGACTGTTAACAGCTTGTTCCTCCACAAAGAAATCTGCTTTATTTAAAACTTGCAAAAAACTCTGGGCAGGATGGTATGGGCACAAGCAGTCTGGTGTCTGAAAGGGAAACAGTATAATTGGCAAAGTGTTACTCTTTCATGTCTTGATTACTTTAAGGGGATAGTATCCCTTGCAGAAATTAACAGAAGAGATTTTTGTTGTAGGATGTAAAGGCACTGCATTATTCCTACCCAGCTTTGCTTGTGGGTTAACCCTCCTCTCCCAGAAGATAATCATTCTCAACTCAGCCTGTCTTTTAGGAGGAAGGGGATCGTTCAAGGTGTCTCTGGAAACGTGTTTCAAGTTTTCTAAAAAAAGATATTGCACTATTTCTATGCAGCATTACCCATTCTCCTTAAAAAAAACTAAAACAGGGTGGATGGAGAATCCTGAGGGTCTTCATGTGACAACATAGTGGAGGGGGCTTCAACATGCACCAGATGTGAAAGGGAAGCCATGACTAAAATAAATGGGTTACGCTGGACTGTTTGAAATCTCCATTGCAAGGGTAATTTCACGCAGAATTGCATCAGCAACCAGACAGCCAAGAAAAAAACCACCCTGATGTGGAGGCACCCCTGGAGACTTAAAGGCAGGTAACAACACAGAAATTATTTTGCCAGGGAGATATGTGTCCAAGGCCAAAGATATTTATTCCTTCCACTCCAGGGGGTTAGAGAAGTCCCCCAAGTCCATTAACTTAGCAATATCAAGTTTTCAAAACTCAGGATGCCTTTCTGTTCATGACTGAAGGCCAGCTGCCTGAGCAGTGCTTCTTCAAGTGAGAGGTTGTCAAAGCAAAAACTTCTTTGATAGTACTTGGATGGGATGGGAAACCACCAAGGAAGTCCAGGGTTGCTACGTCAGGGAAGAAGAAGAGAAGAGATTGGACTTATACCCCGCCCTTCACTACCCAAAGGTGTCTCAGAGTGGCTTATAAACTCCTTTCCCTTCCCCTCCCCACAACAGACACCCTGTGAGGTAGGTGGGGCTGAGAGAGCTCTTGACAGAAACTGCTCTTTTTCAAGAACAACTCTTATCAGAACTACGGCTTGCCCAAGGCCATCCAGCCAGGTGCAAGTGGAGGAGTGTGGAATCAAACCCAGTTCTCCCAGATGAGAGTCCGCGCACTTAACCACCACACCAAACTGGCAGATAACAGCCAATCACCTCTGTCCATCTCTATCCTTCAAAACCTTATGGGGTCACCATACGTCCACTGCAACTTGATGGTACTTTTTAATCCCCAGCACTTCCAGTTAATGGGCAACATCAGTATCAATAAGCTCACCATCTGGTGTACCAACTTACTGACCCCAGGACCCCAGAGAAGCCCTTCCACTTCTTTATGGAAGCTCCAGAGGGATTCTGTTCTTGCCCCCAAGAGAGACAGCAGCCACCACACCCCTCCCTGCCCAGTGAAGCATCTTTGGATTAGGGAGCAGCTTTTTGAGAGATTTTTTTTTTTAAGGAAGGTGGGTCAGAAGCTCATTTGGGTAATTATCCTGTACCAGCCAAGTTCAAATTCCCCTTGCAATTTCATCAGAGGGTGAAATTCATTTCCTGTTGCCAGCTGCTGCATAATGACAATGTGCACCAATAGCAAACTGGCACTGCCACCCACACCATGGAGTCTTGCCAAGCTGTAATGGCTCATGACGGGAGAGGCAAATTAGAAGGCTGATCTTTCCTCACATATAATTCACAAAAATCCAAAACGCATCTTCACAGAATAAATTTGCTCATTTCTTCTGATAAGAGATACCTGGGTTGTAGATTTAGCCCTGAACTGGCTGGAAACTAAGCAGGGTTGGCCCTGATTAGTACTTGGATGGGAGATCACTGAGGAAGTCCAGGATTGCTATGCAGCGGCAGGTAATGGTGAATCACCTCTGAACATCTCCTACCTTGAAAACCTTCTGGGATTGTCATAACACAGGTTCGATTTGATTGGGGGGGGGGAATTGCCTTTGGAATCATCTTCATTCCAAAAGGCTTTGAGGAGAGGGACAGAACAGCAGCTCAAAATGTGCCTTTTTACTTTTGAGGAGAATTAATAAAGTATTTGCATTTGCAGAGTAAATATTCTATTAAGAAAGCCTCCTGTTGATCAGTAGAAATGGAGGCCCTTTTCAGGGCTTTTCAGTCCAACTGTGACTTCTAGAAACTTGCCCTTTGAAACAAATGGAAAGCCCAGAGGCTCCTTGGAAGCCAAATCGTCCCACTTTCCCAGCTTCAAATCCCTGGTTAGCCAGGCTTAGCAGAGGCCTGTATCACAGACCCCTGGGAAGGCAGATGGGCAAAGAACATGGGCCCCCTCACCTGTCACTCCATTGGGGAGTTTAAGAGATTCAGAAGCCCCAGCCAAAATATTGTCCAAACCAGCCAGAGTCTACAGACAGCTTTTAAAAAGCAGGCAATTTCTCTGTGTCTTGCAGTGGTAGGCTGCAGCTTGCTCCGAAACCACCACTCATGACCTGCTGGTCTGCTGCCTAATGCCAGAAAGGTGGCACTGGTTCAGCTACCCAGGCCTGACTGAGCACAGCTGGGAGCCTTTCTTGCATTACAGCCTGTTATGGAACACAGTCCCTGGGGAATCCCAGCTCCAAATGAACCTTGCCCTCCTTCCCCCAGCAGGAACCTGCAAGCCTGCTGTGTTTTGACAGCACATCAGCCGTCTAGCTGATTGTAGATGACTCTGTTTCAGAATGGCTGCCGCCCACTTTTACCTGCTAGCCTCAGCTGCAGAACGCTGGGAGGAAGTGGCGGGCCTTCCTTCCTCAGCTCAGAAGCTCCAGGAAAGCAGCTGGTGCCCCTGGCTGTAAAAAACAACTCCTGCTCTTCCCCTTCCCTTGTGCTACCAGGAACTGCTGCCAGTGCACATCACAGCCGCTCCCTTCCCCAAGTCCACTCACAGAGAGTTTCAGGTGGGCAGCCGTGCTGGTCTGCAGCAAAAGAGCAAGATTCAAGCCCAGTCGCACCTTAAAGACCAGCAAGATTTCCCAGGGTATAAGCTTGTGAGAGTCAAAGCTCCCTTTGTTGGTCTTTAAGGTGCTACTGGACTAGAATCTTGCTCAATTTTAGTGAGTGTCCCTGCGGTAGATCAGACTCCCTGCAGAGAGGTGTAATGCAAGACAGAGCTCACCCCTAAGCATATGATGGGACCATACGATAGTCTGAGCATGTGAAAAGAAGAAGAGGAGATTGGATTTATACCCCACCCTTCACTACCGGAGCAGCTTACAATTCCTTTCCCTTCCCCTCCCCACAACAGGACCCTCTGTGAGGTAGGTGGGGGTGAGAGAGCTCTTTCCAGAACTGCTCTTTCCAGAACAGTTCTGAGACAACTTGTGATTGACCCAAGGTCACACCAGCTGCTCCATGTGGAAGAGTGGGGAAACAAATCCAGTTCTCCCAGATTAGAGTCCGCGCTCCTAACAACTACACCAAACTGGCTCTCAGACTCACCTGCCACCCTCACCCCAACACTTCTCACAACTCTTTTCAAACAGCTGCGGTCCATACCGTGGCTCCTCTCATTTTTGAAATAAACCTGCAGAGAAGCTCTGCAGAGATCCACTAGAAATGCACCTTTCTCTCTTGATGCCTTTGGACTGGATTTGGTTTTAGTGCCATTAATGCAGTGTTTTATTGGACAGGGCTCAGATCACTCCAGCTGCCCCTCCCCCATTTGTTAACCCTGGTATTTTAGTTATGTGAAGGCCCCATGAGCCCACCGTAAAATTCTCACAAAAGAGGGGCTCATCCGCCAGCACTGAATAAGCCATGCGGGGTTAAGCCACTCCCAGAAAGTGGGGCGCTTCTTCATTCTCCACTCAGAGCTTTCTCAGTCTCGTGTCCTTGGCCTTGACAGCAGTAGGGGAATCCATCAACAGCCCTCCCCTCCCTGGGCCACAGGAGGATGGGCTTAGGGCAGGAATAGAAAGAGATGTGCCCTTCTCCACTCACACAAGAATGGTACCTTCTTCTCCACCCTGAAAGCAAGGCTGCTTCCTCTGCAGGCGATGCAGTGGGCAAGGGCTGGCCCCTAGACAGGAAGTCAAGTCTCAGCTCAGCCCAGCTTTGAACTCGCTGGCAAGGTCACAAGCTGTTTGTTTCCACTGACTGTCTGCTTCTATGCCTTAAAAGCACTCCAACATGAAGCAATATGGCATGTGAAGTGTCCCCCTGTCAGAGAAAAGCTTTACCTGCTGAATTTCTACATCCAGGAGCAGGGCCAGTAACACCCCCCCACACCTTGCAGGCCTATCAATGAGCTGGGATTAAGCTGAGACTTGCATGTAGGTCAGGCCTAGAACTGCTAGTTAAAACTACCGGTGAATTCACAGACCGGAGGCACGTCACTCTGTCCGTCTAACAATACCAGAAGTTGTTTGCAGCTCTTCTGGCCCCAAAAACCCAGAACAAAACACAGTCCACATAACACCTTCTGTGAATTGTGGTTTGTAACAATACCAGCCAGCCTTACAGAGGGGGTAGGAAGCGGAGCCAACACATGCAAAGCCCACAGGGAAAGTACTAGACCCAAAATGACCAACTGGTAAAGAAAAATAAAATGTAGCTGAGCTATATGCTGCAGGACAAGCCTTCGATGCAAGCACAGAGGAGCTGGACCAGGAGAGGCTCAGAAAGGGGTCTCTCTCAAAGCCAGATGGCTCCAAAGGGTTGCAATTGCCAAGCAAGCACTTGACTAGTGTCAAGAGAACCAAATGAGTTTTCCAGAAACACAGCTTAGCTCAGCTCAGTTTTCTTCTCAGATTTTAAAAGACAATAGCTTTCCTGTGCTCCATCATCCTCCCCCAAACTGTATGAAAGCAGAACTTCCTGAAAGAGGGGAAGCCACTACTGAGACACACACTTGGGGTATCCCATTGCTGAAACTATTTTCTCCAGGCAGAAGTATGGGTTTCTCTCCCCCAAGCACGCTCTCTCTCTCTCACACACACACACAGAAGAAAGATTTGCATACTAGGCTTTCTGCAAGCCCCGTGAAGCCACAAGACAGGAGGTGAACAGGCCCATCCGATGTGGCAACAACTGTGAAAAATTCCCTTAGAAGGAAGTGGAGACCAATTATTTTCCCCAAGACACGCCCCGCCATGATTTGCATGCTGTTGCAGAAGATTAATCCTAGGGGAATCCATAAGGACTCTTTTTCTCACTGTACTCATTGCCGGAAGTTACCCAGTAAAAATTCCCCTCCAGAGCAAAAGGAGAGGAGGGAGGGAGGCTGGCTCAGCAAACATCCAGCTTGGCCCCAGATGAGCCTCCCGTGTCCTTCTGTTCAAGCCAGAGCCAAAAGGAAGGGGGGAATCCTGGAGGAATTGGGCAGAACTTACAGACCCGACTGGGGCAAAGAACACCTCCCAGGGGCCAGGAAAAAGGAGGGAAACAGCATCTCGTTTTGGGAAGCATTTGGCTTCCTTCACACACTCCTGGCAAAGGTAGCTGCTGTTCAGCACCCCCATCAGATCCCCCCCCCCAGCTCAAACTGATCCCCAGCAAGTACAGAGATTGTGATCACACCAGAAGTGACTCTGCTAACGGCTGGAGTGACCCAGAGACTCAAATCAAGATCCCAGATTGAGGGGATACTGTCAGCCCCACAGCTGTATTTGAAACATCTAAACACAAAGCAGCCGAGAACACTGCCATCCGCCTCACACTCTACTCTTCCCTGCCCCATGCAGTGCTTGACTAAATGGGTGACAAAGTCATTGTCTGCCTTGGGCTGGCCCTGGACGGGTCACCACATTTATTTATTTATACTCCGTATTTCTCCCCAATGGAGACTGAAAATGGCTTACATCATTTTCCTCTCCTCCGTTTCACCCACACAACAACCCTGTGAGGTAGGTTAGGCTGAGTATGTGTGACTGGCCTAAGGTCACGCAGCAAGCTTCCATTGCAGATGCCCATGTCTGGCAAAGGGAACGTTGACTCTCGAAAGCTTCTACCCTGAAAATCTTGTTGGTTTCTATGGTGCTCCTGGACTTGAATTTAGCTGGTCTCTATCCCAGAATCGAACACATGTCCCAGCTTGGGGGTGGGGAGAGAGAAAGGGTCAGCTTTCTCTTCTCAGTGTCACAGAACTTTGTGACGGGAATTACATTTTAAAGATTGGCACAGACCTCTACTGAGTGTGGGCTTAACTCCTGAAGGGAGAGGTGTCAAGGTTTAAGCCTATCTGGAAACCACAGCCTGAAAGCCCTGCCCTCTAATCCCAGGCACGTGCAGGGGAGGGGCCAAGACAAGAGATGATCCAGGTGGTTTGCCATTGTCTGCCTCCATGTAGCAACTCAGTGCTTCCTTGGCTGCTCTCCCATCCAGGTACTAGCCAGGGCTGACCCTGCTGAGCTTAGAGCTGACCAGGATCGGGCCAGCCTGGGCCATCCAAGTCAGGGAGTGCGAGGAGGGGAGAGGAGGAGTGTGTCAGGGGCATAAAATTCACTGGATGGGTTTTATAGAACTCCTGCTCAGTGCAGGAATCCAAACGTCAATCACTCTCATTCTTTGGCAGCTTGCAAAAAGTAAAAATGCTTTTATTCCAGGCAGCATATGGCACAGTGGGAAGCAGAATCCTGTTGTGTTTGTTTGAGGCTCTCATGGATAGAGAGGATTTGCATTGTGCATTTTGCAGGTTTGGAGAGAGAGGGAGACGAGAAATCGAGCCAGTTGGAGCAATTCCCTTCAGGCTCCCAAATCGGAGACCTACCACGGGAAGCCAGAGGAAGAGTATGCAAGCTGAAGTCAAGGCTGCAAGGCAAGAGAACAACCCCACCCGTTCAGGGCACTGCTCACCTTCCCCCACAGTGCCTTCTTCACACATTTATTCTGCCCTTACTCCAAGAAGCCTTGGGGGAATTTCCCCGGTTCTCCCCACAGCCCTATGAAGCAAGCTGGTGTAGGTCCCCCTTAAACAGAGTTACACTCTTGCAAGTTCACTGAACTCTATGGGCTTTGAAGGATGTAACTCCACGCTGGATTGCACTGCAAGTTTGCTGCTTGACAGAGGAAGGATTTGAACCTGGGTTACCCCAGTGCTGGCCCAGGCTAGCCCAATCTCCTCAGATTTCAGAAGCTAAGCAGGGTCAGCCCTGGTCAGGACTTGGATGGGAGACTAACGACGTCCAGGGCTGCTGCACAGAGATAGACAATGGCAAACCACCTCTGAATGTTTCTTGCCTTGAAAACCATATGGAGTCACTGTACGTCAGCCACTACTTGATAGCACTTTCCACCACCTTTCCAGTCCTAGTTAAGCAGTACAACCATTTATACTATATTGGTTGACTCTCAGATTCCTTCCCACATATTGCACTACTTCAGACCACATGGATTCTGATGGGAAGCGATGCCAAAACAGAGCTTGTACTGTAAGAAAATTACTTGTCTGAACCCTCCCTTACATGCAGCCTTATGACCACAATTCAGAAGCCCACACTTCTGTGGAGAAGTCATAACATTATCAGCCATCTCGGATATTGACACCCCCTTTAAAGACAGTTGGAGGGAAATTACTTGCCATTACATAAAAGCATTAGGCAACACAGCAGGGTTGAATTGTGCCAGATAATAGAACTGTGTGTTGCGGATGTGGTCTATTGCTCTCCACAGACAGCCAGTCACACAGTTGGCAAAGAGAAGCAGTCCACAGAAACCAAGCTTATCGGCTTTTCCAAGAGCCCCCACCCCCCCAATGCCTGGGAACAAAGTGGGAAGGATTTGTGCTCAAAGGAGAAGTGAGACAGCTGGGGGTCATACCTCATTGCTACATTACTTCCATCTATGACAACAGGCCGCAGGTTCTCGCCCTCCTTCCCCTCCAAGGGCAGGGCAGGCACAGGGCTCCTGTGTTGGGGGGCCACCGGTGGCTCCAGGGCTTCCTGAGGGGGGTCGGTGGGGTCCCGGTCCCCCATCGCAGTCCCATGCTTCACCAGCTCCCCCAGGACTGTGTTGGTGTCCGCATCTAAGCCCAGCTTTTGAAGGACGACCAAGATCTCTTCAGAGGAGTAGCCCAACTTGCGAAAGAAGTCCACTTTCATTTGTATCTCCACGTGGTCTTGCTCAGACCAGCTTGGCAACTCCGGGTCCGTCAGGCCGGATGCGCCATGCTCCTCCAGGTTCCTACCCCGGGCACAGGGCATGACGTTCGGGCTGGGGTAGCCGCTTTCCAAGGGCGGGCTCTCCCGGGCCTCCTTCGGTGGACGCGGATGCTCCAGTGGAGAGAGGGCGCAGGGTCACTCCAGCCAGGAACGCCCCGGACCGCGGGGACTGCTGCGGTACCGATCCATGGCCTCCCCCCTTCCTCAGTGAGACCCGCCACCTGCAAGCCAAAGAGAAGGGCGCTGAGCTCTCGCTGCTCTGGCAGGAGCGAAACGCCCCGCAGCGGAGGCGCTCCCCTGAGCCAGCTGTCGAGAGCGCACCTGCGCAAAGAGCGCCGACCCGGGGCGGGCAGGCTCGGCATCGGAGGCCAGCCGAAACCCCGCAGGCTCCTCCTCCCCGACCTAGTGGCCGGACCCCGCGGCTAGCGCGTCACCGAGCAGCCCGTCCGGCACAAGATGCCGGCCCACAGAAGATTCCCTGGTTCTCCTCCCAGCCCGAGGTTGGGGCGGCTTTTGCCCTCGGCCCCGGGCCAAGCTACCCTCTACCACCCGCCCGTCTGTCCTCCGTCGAGGAGGCGGCCAGTCCGGGCCGGAGGACAGAGGTCGCCCCTTCGCAAACTCCCCAAAAGCCGAGCCGGCCGCCGCCCCGACGCAGGGCCCATACCTAGCTACCGCAGTCGCTCCTCCATGGGGGTCCAGGGTAAACTGGCCGCGCCCGCTGCTTTATACTGGGCCGGGCAGGTGGCCTAGAAGAGGCGGAAGCAGCCGCCGCTTCCTGACCCGCCCGCTGGGCCCGGCTGGCGTCCCTGCAGCGCCGCCTCCCGCTCCGTCTTCGGGGCGGGACTGAGCCAGCGAGCCTCCGCCCTGTTGAGGGAAGCTCGCCCGTGTCTCGTCGGCCCCTTCCCTCGGGCCTAGCGCTGTGACTGACCCCGCTTCTTCCACGTAGCAGGCTGCGAGCTTTTCCAAGCGCCTAGAAAGGCTGTGTGCTCTCTGGGGACCGCCACTTCCTTGTTCCCGCCTCTTATGCAAACATTTTCCCTCTTAGGCAAACAAGAAATAGATAACTCTCGCATTTAAAAATCAGGACTTGGCATCAAATCACAATCGTATCTGAGGTTTTTTATGACCTAACCTGAGAGGCTCTGCAACCCAAGCCCAGCCAGCAGAGGTGTTATAGTCAAGAGCGTGGGGCTAAGAGTGCAATATGGGTGACCTAAAACCAGTCACATTCTCTCAGCCTGACCTACCTCACAGGGTTGTTGTGAGGCTAAATGGAGGCGAGGAGGATAATGCAGCTGCTTTGGGGTTGCCATTGGGTAGAAAGGCAGGGTATAAATTAAGTCAATAAATAAATTGGTACCACTGGTCTTCTGGGTGCAGGAGTCATGCTTCAGCTTAGCGTGGGATGCAGGATTTGGGCACTGTAAATTTCAGAAGTGTTCAGTACACAAGTGCCTTTTTTGGCTTCGTCATGCATTTCTCTTCGGTAAAATCTCTGGCCTCGTTTCTGCTCTCCGTTGCACAGGCCCACTGAGTGTTGTGTGAGCAATCATAAACAGGTCTACTCAGAAGTAAGTGCCATGTTGCTCCCAGGAAGGCATCCTCAGGACTGCACGGAGTCTGTGGACCTTCCCACATAAGCAGCACCCTGTTGACTGGCGGGAGAGACACACCTAATTTGGATATCCTCAGCTGTGCAGCCGCCACATGTAAAGGGAAGCCGTTCCCACACTTGCATGTGTATGTGTAAAGCTCAATTTAAATATGCTGGCAGTGCAAAAGGAACTCCCCCATGAGCCATGGCACGTGCACAGTTCAGAGCCATGGCATGTGCTGAGTAGCTGTTTTGGTAAGAGTGGCCTAGTTTCATTGAAATTGCATGTGAATGCAAAGATCCACACGTGAGTCCTCTTCCCTAACCCAGCATCATGTTTGTTTGTTTATTTTCTTCATTTGCATCTTTCTCCCCCATGGGGGATCCAAAGCAGCTGACACCATTCTCCTTGCTTCCATTTTAGCCTCACAGCAACCCTGTGAGGTAGGATAGGCTGAGGGTGTGTGACTGACCCAAAATCACCTGACAAGCTTCCATGGCAGAGTAGGGATTCAAACCTGGGTCTCCCACATCCTAGAGTGGCACACTTACCCAGTGCTACACCACACTGGATCACTGGTTCAAATGAGCAAGCTTCAGAGTTTATAGAAACAAACTGCAAAAATGAGATCACCGTCCAGGATCTGAAAAATTAATCCCAAGTCAGTGCATTTTGATTCCACTTCAGTGCAAGGCAATTTCAGACCCTACTGCCGCTTCCATCTCTTTTTTCCTCCCCCCCCCCCATCTTGGTTTTTCTTTTTTGAGCCTCTTGCTGTGATTTTTAATCTCAGGCTGCAGAGAGTCTGTGGTGTGTTCACACTGGCATACAAAAAAACACACTTGAATCCCTGTCAAGCTCCTTTGATTTTTGCTGGGCAGATGCTGTTACATTGTACAGCACCACACAGTCCGTTCAGCGAGAGGGCAGGCTAGAAAGACCTGGCCTGAAACTTCACCTTTGCCTGGATTTTATTTGGAGTTAGGAATGAATAGCTGTGAATGCAAAGGAGTGTGTGTGTGTGTGATAAAAAGGCAATTCTGTACTCTAAAATAGACTGCAGTGATTCCCATGACAAATCAAGTCAAGCTTTCTGGGTACAGTAATACCTTTGCAGAGTTCTGTGCCACCCAGCCCTGGATGTAGAGTTGCCAGCTCTGGGTTGGGAAATACCTGGAGATTTGGGGAGTGGAGCCTGGAGAGGGCAAAGTTTGAGGAGCGGAGGGACCTCAGCAGCGTGCAGTGTCCGAGTCCACCCTCCAAAGCAACAATGTTCTCCAGGGGAATTGATTTCTATAGTCTAGAGATCAGTTGTAAAAGCCAGGGATCTCCAGGCCTCACCTGGAGGTTGGCAGCCCTGCCTGGATGGCCCAGGCTAGCCTGATTTTACCAAATCTCAGAAGCTAAGCAGGGTTGGCCTTGGTAAATACTTAGATGGGAAACTACCAAGTTAGTCTGGGGTTAGCAATAGGAAATAGAGGTTAGCAATAGGAAATAGTCTCTGTTGGGCCCTTGGTTGGACACTTGCCTTGCAAACCCTATGGGGCAGGCCCGTAGCTAACATGGGGCCCATGGGGCCCGCCCCCCTTGTGTTTCTTCTGGGCCCCCTCCCTCCAGGGCTGCCCCCAAAGTGCTCAAACTTACCACCTGCACTGTACTTCCATTTAATTAGCTGGCGGCCCCCCCAAGGCCCCCTCCCAAAGAATTCCTTAGCTACGGGGCTGCTATGGGGTCTCCATAGGTTGGCTGTGACTTTTTGTATTGTGTGTCTGCACCCATGCCTGGAAGTCAGGGCGACCTCTGGCAACTTCTACTGGGACATGGAGGATGTTTAGAGAAGTAGCTTGATAGCCTGCCTCTGCTTCCCGGCCCTGGTATTTTCTGGAGGTCTCCCATCCAAGTAGTTGCCAGGGTCGGCCCTGCTTAGCTTCCAATATCTGACGAGATCAGGCTTGCCTAGGGCGGCTATCCAGGTCAGGGCTGGTTGGTTGTGACTGGATGACATTTTATACATACAAATAACCTGCATAGGTGGCTGTTTCCAGCAGTCAACACCCCTGATCCTTTCAGATAATCCCATGCAGCTGTTCCCACTGGGAAAATCCTCCTGCTGGACCTCCCATCACTCTCCACTTAGGTTCCTGGAGAGAGCCAAAGAATTTAGGGCACAGCCCCCTGGGACATTTTCCTGTGCACAATCCCCTGAAAGGTATGTTAGCCAGCCAAGACAGGCCTGCCCAGCTGCTCCCACTACCTTCTGTGGGGTAGAGGCCTTCCAAGTGGATTGGGCCTTTGAGTGGTTTCTCAGCTCTACTGCCAAAAACCTTTGATAGTGGTTGTTTGGAATGAGAGCTATCCAGCCCACAGCTTGGCGTGGCCTCATTGAAATAAATTGCCTTGTGTGACTGAGCTGTGTAGGATTTCTTAGTTACAGCCCTCCCCCATACTCATACTATACACACACACATGCCATACCACATACTCTTCCCCCCCTCCCCCCCAGGGCAAGGTGAGTTCTTCTCGAAACAACATCAGGCTTCCTTGGCAGGCAGCAAACTGCCTTCTGGATTCACATGGGCCCACTTCCTTTTGTCTCTTTCCAGCACCCAGCAGGGTTGTGAAACAGCTTCTTGGTGAGGGCAGGGGCAGGGCTCGGGTTTCTGAGAACACCTGGCCTACATGCAAATCTGCTGTTGCAATGAGGAAGATTTGCCTATGCAGAAAATCTGCCTGTTCACCAAAGCCTCATCTCCTTCCTGGTTTCTCTCTCCCAAGGCCAGGCCAGGCACCCTTTGGTCTAGAGAGGAGGGTTTGCTGGGGCTGTTCAGCTTTGGGGTGGAGGTGGGGGGAAGCAGGGGTTGGAGGAGCGAGGCTCTTTGTTGAGAAGGAAGGAGAGGGGAGGGGCTGTGACTCAGTGGCAGAGCCTCTGCTTTGCATGCAGAAGGTCCCAGGTTCAATTCCCGGCAGTTTCAGTTAAAGGGACTGGGCAGTTGGTGATGTGAAAGACACTGTGCCTGAGAGCCGCTGTCAGTCTGAGCAGACAATACTGCCCTTATAGACTGAAGTTCTCATTCAGTATAAGGCAGCTTTGTGTGTCTTATGTGTAAGATTGCTGATTTCTAGTCAGGATCATGGTGGCAAATGGAGGATTTTGCAGTGAGCTAAACCAGAACGGGGCTTCTCTTTTCTTCCATTTGGCCCCAGGGAAACTTTGCTCTGCTTGCCTGTTTGGTTGTTTGCTGAGTTGGGGGGGGGAAAACCCTCAAGCCGGAGTGGCCCCTTCCTGCAGAGAGAAAAGCAACCACTTGGCTAGCTCCTCTGCTCTTCTTTGCAACTGTTGTGCTTTGGAAGAGGTCTGATCTGGGGCTGGCAGTTGTTCTCATTTCTAAGCTTCCCCTGCTGGTTTCTGTAGGCCTCACCTGGGTGTGTGTGTGGGGTGTGTGTGTGAGAACCATATTGCCCCATTACAGCCCTTCCTCTGTTGTTCCCCATCTCTTTGCAGGGCCTGTTCATGTTTTGGTTGCAACTACCTGGGTCCTTGCATTGTTGTGACTTTTCTGTGTGAGTTGTGTGTTGTTGAGTCACTTCTGAATTACGGCATCCCTGTAGGGTTTTCAAGGCAAGATATTGTCTGCCTCTGTCTCCCATTCGGGTGCTAACCACGACTGACCCTGCTTAGTTTCTGAGAGCTGACAAGACCAGGCCAGCCTGAGCCATCCAGGTCAGGGTATTTGGACTTGTGGCATCACATAATTACCTGTGGAAACTAAAGCAGTCTTGTCTATGGGTGTTTTGTTTTTTTGGTGGGTATTTGTGTCTGTGTGTGCTTGTGTGCCTGGAACTCATGGTGACTTCTGGTGACTCCTAGTGGGGTTTGGATGTTTCAGAGAGGTGGCTTGATACTATCTGCCTCTGTGTCCCGAGTCCTGGCATTCCTCAGAGGTCTCCCATCCAATTACTTGCCAGGGTCGGCCCTGCTTAGCTTCTGAGATCTAATGAGATCGGGCTTGCCTGAGCTACCCAGGTCAGGGTTCTTCCCTATGAGAGAGTCTTAATATTTATTACATTTGATTGTAATGTGAACCTTTGGCACCTTGAAGGTTATCAGATTTATTGTGGCACGAATTTTATTGCGGCACAAATTTTCATGAGCCAGAAGCATGAAGAGGGGCTGCAGTTG